AAAACTTGAATGGTGTTATTTATTATCTGCTGCTGTGACTCGCTTACCTGTTACATCTCGTGTTTCCGCTTTAACGGGGTGTGACATTGTTTGATTGGAAAAACAATCAATTGGCTCTGATACCAATTTATGATCTCATATCTCTCAATAACACTAATAATTAAGTTAAGAATAACCAAATTATAGTGTTTGAATGAATAAAATGATTACATTACTCAATATGAAAACGTAAAAAGCGACATTGATTACAATAGGCCTAATCACCTATTTATACTAGAAGACTAATTAGAAGATAACTATCTAGTGAGACTATTTAACTAATCTTCTATTAATAGATAAAATTTATCTAAACTATGGATAAGCTATAAATTAAGATAAACTTGAAGTCCAGCTGTCGACTAGTTATCTCCAGCTGTCTTCTATGGGATGATGATTCAACCTTATCTTCATATGTTCATCGTATGCCTCTAGTTGTATTCCTGAATAAAACTCTAAGTGTTGTTGACCAGAGGGGTGATGAAGATGCTTTTTCCATCGCATCTCTGGTTGTTCATTGACCCTCTGGTTGTTCTCCAGACTTGGTCAATTATGCCTTAATGTCTTCATCGGTCTTCTGGTTCTTCATCACTTATTGTCTTCATTACTTTTACACTTATAAATTATGGGGTCTAACAGATGCAATTTCCCTAATGCGGAAATTTACATTTATTGCACTTAGGTTTGCTTCCTTGATTTACCACTTGGGTCTGTACCCCAAAGTTTCCTACCGCCTTCCTGTTCTTGCCAAACCTTTCCCCAAATATATGGTTTCCAAATTCTTCCACCTTTCTGTTTCCTTTGTTGAACTCCCCAGATCAAATAGCACTATTTGTGAGCTTGGTCACAATGTTTATTACCTCCTGAAGGGTCCTTGGGTTTGTCGAGGTAATATTTCCTCGAATTTCTTGAGATAATCCCCAAATATACCTCTCAATTCGGACCTCCTCAAGTGTCACCAGATGTGGCACTAAATTGGCTAACTCATGGAATCGAGCAATATATGTGTGGAGTCCTAATTCACTGAACAATCTTCATAACATCTTCAACAATGGCAGATTTAGAATATATCTTGTATGAACATCAAGAACACTTAGAGAGAGAAAGTCAAACTCTATATTTCAGTCAAACCTTTCTATTACGTATGATTATTACAAATGAACTCCTCTTCTCCACCTAATTACAAAGATTGACCACTATTTGTATGGTCAAACTAACAAAGCAAAGTCAAAGTCAAACTTCTATAAGAAAAGTCAAACACGCTGAGTTTTACAATTATAGACTATTTATAAACTTTCAAGACGAATACAATTAATACTGATTTCTCAGTCCTAACATTCTCCCCCTTTGTATTCAGACTTGAAAGAAAAATCTGCGCTTTGAGTCCTTGTTTGAACTTTGAAACATTATGCACAAAGTGTCTTCTTCAAAAGAAATCTTCAAGCAATCAACTGTTGAGAAAGATCTTCTAGCATTCTCCCCCTCGAATGTAGAATCACGATGATCTTCTCTTTTGATAATGTAGATCAAAAACAATCTTCAGAAACACTGTACAAGATGTGATCTTCAAAGGATCTTCAGAAAACAAGTCTTCAGTAAATTATTGTGAAAATGATCTTCACATTCAATATCTCTCAGTCGTTGTAGCACACAAATAATCTTTCTGTAATGATCTTCATTCTCACTTCTTCTTTTGAGTCTTTTGCCACTTTCAAAGTTACCCCCCCCCCCTTGATCTTTATATCAAATCCCCTTTAACAAAGTTCAGAAATGAATATTTCATTCATTATTACATATACTCCCCCTTATGATGAAATGAGAATCATTCCATCATACAAAAGATGAATGAAATTTTCCGAGTAAGCCGTCAAATCATGAAATTGTAAGTAGATCTTTGCAAATCCACTTTTATAATCTTTTTAGATTAAGGGAATGGGAAGGTAACATCCAATTTCAACGT